TTGGGTCTGCTGGGTGCTGGTCACCTCCTTTATGAGAACTGGGGAAGCTATCTGCATTGAGCTAAGCCCAGCAGTGCAGGGCTTAGCCCACTGGCTGTGTGTGATCAGCTGAGTGGCACAGATTAATTTAGGAGAGCTATTGGAAGCTCCATGTAGGAACTTCTGACTCTACATAGAGGAAGTGACTGGTGCCTGCGGTATGTTCTTTTATCATAAATATCATCATATTAATTATATATACATAAAATAGCACACTTGGAAAACGTCTAATAGTTTTTAAAGGGTACAGGATTTATCTCTTCTTTATTTTGAATATGCAAAAAGTCCTATATTTTGTGAAAAATAACAGCTCATTAGAATGTAATAATAATACAGAATTATGATAGATTTCAAATCACTTCCTCTATTAAGACATTCCCTTAAATCTTTCTATTTCCTATTCCCAGGTATCCCCAAATGGATGTCCCTATCCACACACCTCTAATTCTGTTTGTCTACATTCTGTCCTTCGTGACTGGAGTACCATCAAACATCCTGGCATTTTACACATTCCTTGTCAAGGTTCGCCAGAAACCATCACCTGTAGGGATTTACCTCCTCAACCTCACAATCTCTGACTTGCTACTTCTCTTTTTTCTACCTTTCAAGATGGTGGAGGTGGCATCGGGGATGCAATGGCCAATGCCTTATTTTTTGTGTCCCATTGCGGTCTTGGTATATTTCTGCAGTATTTACATTAGTACACTGTTTCTTACGGCAGTGAGTGTTGAGCGATATCTTGGAGTAGCTTATCCCATGAAGTACAAAGTAAACAGAAAATCTGTCTATACAATTTGGACCTGTGTTTTCATTTGGATCTTCAGTACTCTGCAAGGAAGTGTTTCATTTTTTGTCTTGGAATTTTTGCCAAGTAACGAGAGCAGCCAAGGAAAATGTTACCAAACATTCTCAGAAAGCCAGCTTAAAGTCCTGATGCCATTCCGATTGGAAGGCAGTCTAGTGTTATTCTGCCTCCCTTTCCTCATAACTATCTTCTGCTACCTTAATTTCGTGAGGCTACTAATGTCCATGCCAAAGATTGGGGGGAAGAAAAAGTATCGAGCTATAGGCTTAGCGGTGGCCACTCTTTTCAATTTTACCATATGTTTTGCACCCTATAACATTTCTCATATTGTTGGTTTTATACAGAATAAAAGTCCACGATGGAGAGTCTATGCCTTACTGCTGAGCACTCTCAATGCCAGCCTAGATCCCATTATCTTTTATTATTCCTCTACAGCCATCCAGAGAGTGTTTTTAAAATTCTTGACTAAATTAAAATGTAAATTATGTAGGGTGAGTCCTTCAAGTATACAAATAGAGCTGAGTCAATTGAGTGAGTCAAGAACCATTTATCAAATATCATGTACCATAGATCAAAAAGGCATCGATACTTGAAAGAAAAATAAGTAAATAGCATTTCTTTTTTTTGTAACATCATTCAACAGTGATAATATTATTTAATATATTTTGTGAGTGTGTTTAGCAAATTGAACACTAGGTGGGGCTGTAGCTGATACTTTGCTGCTATTATTATCATTTTTAAGAGTCAATATTTTGTGCAGTGCTTTATAAAAGGGGTTGTTTAACAAGTATTTAACAGACAAGTGCAATCTTGACAGACACAAGAGGTGAAGAAGGACCAGCTCAAATTAGCTTGCAAATTAGGATGTTTTTCAAATCTAGTGCTTGTATTTGCCAGTGAACCTAATGTCCTGCATTCATATAATTCCTGTTCATGTTCTTTGAACGAGCATAATTAACTCAGTTAATAAGGAGACTAAATAAGGAATCATAGTTTGGTAAAACCAGAGCAGCTAGTCGAATGAACAATAATATTATTTACATCTAAGACTGAGAAAGTAAATAGGCTTAGAATCTGTTGTACCTATTACACAGAAGACATTGCACAGTGAGAAACTTCAGCTTGATCGAACCACTTTTTCCAAAAA